GTGAGAAGGTGCAAGAGCCAGGCTGTCAAAGTTCTGTGTGGCAAATGATAGTTGTCTGATTGTCACTCCTGCTTTTTGGCCCTGTTCTTTCTTCTTTTATCTTGTATTCCCTAGGATAATCATTTATTTTCGTTTGGTCTTCGTTCAGAATTTAGTTATTTATATGTTAACTTATATTTTAATTATATATTTCATGATGTGTTCTTTATATTTTTTTAAATGTCTGCCGTGTATGCATTTATACATTGTAGGTGGTTAATCTTAATTTCATGAAGAGAGCACATCATCTGCTTTGTCTTTTCATACATTTCAACTTAGAGGTTTGGTTTGATGTGCAGTATTCATGAAGTGGTTCCCAATACAAATCAGGAAGTTTAAAAGCATTCTATGAAATGAGAAGCAGTTTCTAAACAATACTAATACAATAAATGTCTGAAATTAAGATTTTTTTCTTAAGGAAGTAGGGAACTTCTAAGGAAAAAACCCTATAAATATATTACATACTGACATGTTAAAAACATACGGTCAGTGGTTGATTGATAATGATGAAACAAAAGAATACTTTAATGTGATATGTTTACAATTATAAGAAGTTGTTACTTACTTTGACTTGACTTACTTGATTTTGGAATACTACTAACAGTAGTTCTGGTCACTGTTTCAGAATACACAGTACTTGTGAGATCAGAAAAAGAAATGAAAGATTTCTGTGTTGTTGTAGCTGTGTCAGTGACAAAGGCAGCAGCGGATGTTCCAGACAGGCTGGAAGTGAGAGCAGCAGTTGTTTCAGCAGCCAGGATGACTGTTTCTGTGGTGGAAAGGAGTACAGAGGTTGATTCAGGTGCAGACGTTTGTACTTGATTGGAAGAGTGTGAAGCCACAGTCTCAGGAGGAGATGTAAATGTGAAAGCAATGGTGGAGATTTCCTTCATGGTAGTGGTGCCCACAGTGGTCCCCTCAAGGGCTGACTTCCCTGTGCTTGTAGAATTGGAGGTTGTTGCTAGAGTGGAGGTGAGTGTAGCTGTGGCCCAAGGTAAGGATATGTCTTCCCCAGATATGCTCAGAGTAACAGCCGATGTGGTGTCTGGAGTTGAGCTTGTGCCTGGAGCAGACGAGGAGGGTCCTGCAGGGACTGTATTTGGAGAAGGTAGAGTCTCTGTAGCGGTGGTGGTGAAAGGGGCAGCGGTGGATGTTTCTGCTGGGCTGGAAGTGACAGCACTGTTCGATTCAGCAGCAGGGCTTGTCATTTCTGCACTTGTAGATGTGATTGTGGAGTATTTCTCAGGAGCAGATGTTTCTTCTGGACTGGAAGAGGGTGAAACTGTAGTCTCAGAGGTAGATGTTGACTGGGAATCCAAAATGGAGCTTTCCACTGAGGTAGTGGTTATGCCCATAGTGATGTCCTCAAGAACCGATGTGCCTCTGCTAGTATCAGATGCAGTTATTGGCAGAGAAGGAGTGGCTGTAGCTGTGGCGAAAGTTAAGGAAATGTTCTCTGCAGAAGTGCTCAAAGTAACAGATGAAATGGTGGCAGTAGTTGGGCTTGTGCCTGGAGCAGAGGAGGATGTTCCTCCAAGGACCGTGGTGAGTGATAGTGATGTATCTCCTGGTGTGGTGGTGACAGGGGCATCAGTGGATGCTCCTGTTGTCCTGGAAGTCACTGCAGTAGTTGTTTTAGCAGCCAGGCTTGAAGTATCTGCTCTGGTAGGATAGAGTGTGGAGATTATCTCAACGGCAGAGGTTTCTGATGATGGAGTAGAGAGCAAATCTTTAGTATTGGTAGGTGTCATGGCCTGGGAGACTGTGCTGTAGGTTTCCACCGTGGTGGTTGTAGTACCCACAGTGGTGGCCTCCAGGGTTGACGTAACTAAACTGGTAGCAGAGGAGGTTGTTGGCAGAGAGGAGAGTGGCAAGAAAGTGGCCAAAGTAGAGGAAATATTCTTCCCAGACGTACTCAGAGTAACAGCTGAAGTGGCGGCCGGAATTGGGCTTGTGCCTGGCGCAGAGGATAAAGTGCGTACAAAGACCGTAGTTGGTGAATTTGTTATAGTTGCAGATGGGGAGGTGACAGCTTCAACCGTGGATCTCCCAGCTGGACTAAGAGTGACTGCAGGAGTGATTAGAGCTGCAGCGCTGATTGTTCCCGTGCTGCTGGAGAGGAGAGAGGAGGTTGTCTCAACAGCAGAGCTTTGCGCTTGAGTCAAAGAGGGGAAAGCTGTAGGGTTGGGAAGAGACGTTGCCTGGGAGACCGTGCTGTCAGTTTCTAAGATGATGGTTGTTGTGCCCACAGTAGTCTCCTCTAGTGTTGACTTTCCTGTGGAGGTGTTTGGCAGAGAGGGGGTGGATGTAGCTGTGGGCAAAGTAGAAGACATTTTCTCCTCAGCCGTCCTCAGAGTAATAGTTGAAGAGATGTCTGGAGTTTGGCTTGTGCCTGGAGCAGAGGCGGATGTTCCTCCAAGGACCATGGTGGATGGTTGTGTTATGTCTGTAGGTGGGGAGGTGACAGCGGCAACAGTGAATGTTCCATTTCGGCT